AATAATAATAAGATGATAATAATAAGATAATAAGAATAAGAAGAATAAGAAGAGTCCATATTTGCTGCTCTGAAAAATTAAGTAGATCTAACACTGGGGGAAAATTATGAAGAATATATCTAAGACTTCTTCTAAAGAGAGCTGGGGCAGCTTGTTGTCTCCTGAGATGCAAAGGCAGTAGCAATTTTGACACTTCTGTAGAAACTGCTCCAGTTAGAGTACACAGATCTGACATTCACCTAGGGCATCTGCATACTGCAGTTCAGGCAGCTTCCCTTAAAGGATCACCCAGCAGGAGTGAACACCATATAGGATATTTACATTGTGCTCAAATGACATCTCAGTTAATTTATGTGTTGGACAAGACACTGCAATGCAGATGGCTTTGACAGGATATTTACATTGTGCTCAAATGACATGTGCTCTCAGTTAATTTATGTGTTGGACAAGACACTGCAATGCAGATGGCTTTGATGAAGAAAAAGTAGAATTGTGGCATATTCCTACACAGGATGAATACCCAAATTCTTGCATCAAGTAGCCTGTCATACCTACACAACCCATTCTAAAACTAGCCTCTACAAAGATTTCTGATTATTCTATCATGACTATTTATGTGCTACAATTAAGCCAAATTAATTCAACTTTAAAATAAAAAGAAATAACCACCTCAATTTCCATTAAGATCATATCCTAAGAACTATTTGTGTGGCCCATGTTAACAGTAATTGTTGTGAAGCTCTTCAAAGAACACCAATTTTGCTCCTTGATTTTCTAAAACAGGCCAGTGAAAAGTCTTTCTGTTTGCACCAAACACACAGAAAGTGAAAAAAAAACCAACCCTTTTCTGTTGCTTTCTAGGTCATGAGAACTAGGAGGAAATCTAGATTTTAAAGACTGGCAGTTCTTAAAACACACTCATTTGGTGAGCTCTGCTGTAAGGAGCTTCAGTATCTGAAATGAAATGCAGCTCCAGGAGATGGGGCTGAGTTATGCAGCCTCACTGACTGGAGGCCATGAGCTGAGGTGAAGGAGGATGGACTCTCAGGCACATGGGCTTCCAGGGAAGCTTCTGAGCTGTGAAGAACTCCAGGGCACTGATGAAGCTGCACATCTTCAGAGAAGAACACAGCATAAGAAACCACAGAGGCTGAGCTTGTTTTCTCAAGTGTGACCCACTCTTTATGGGTCTTCAGACTCTCCCACATCTAGTTTCTTATTCACACCTTTCATCTGCAAAGGATTAAAAATGTAAAAATTAAAGGGAATTAAAAATGTCTATGTAAATCTTCATATAGAAATTTCTAGTCCTGGTAAAGCCTGCACATTTTTATTATGGTAACCAACATTAAGAAGAATTTATGCAAACCCATTTTTGTAGTTGAAAGACAGTCTATCAGTTTAAGAACTCATATAATTCACATTTGATGCTTTTGAGCATGCAGTTCAGGTTATTCCCCCTACAACTCTAACAGTGATATAGTTGTCTGGGGACAAATTACTGCTGTTCTGAGTATTGGTGTCTGAAAGCTGAAATAAAGAAACAGAGGGGAAAGACAATTTGCATCACCAGTTCTATTTATACTCAGCATAACTTGCATAACTTGCCTTCCACTGCAGCATTTAGATTTTACTGAAATTCTAAAAATTTTCTGGGAAACAAATTTTAAGTCAACTTAGCACTAAGACATGTGAGGTATTCTATCAACATCATAGGTCATGTTTCTGAAAGGCTGTTTTCCCTAAATAGCACAAAGTGAGTCTGACTCTTTAACAAACCTGTATTCTTCTGTTTGGGCACACAGCACGCTTTGTGTCAGCAGACTTGCAGTGAATTTGCTAAATGCACCAAACAGCACACCTTCCAATGGAGGACAGCACCAATATCTCACAGAAATTTGATTGCTATAAGGTGTAAAAGGAAGAAACTACTCTTTTTCAAAGTTAAAGTACATGCATTTATTAAAAAAAAAAAATTTGTATTTCAAAGACGTTAAGATATTACTGCATAATCTTCATTAGTTTCAAAGGTTTTGTTATCTTTTAAGGTTTTTTCACTTTGCATTTTGTCACTTTGATTTCTGCTGATAACAATTTGCACTTCCTGAAGATTTGCTGATCTCAAGTCTTCAAAGGAGTGTGTTTACAGAGAAAATGTGTGTTTTCTAAGATTTCTTTATATATCTTTTTAGTCCTATAAGTTCCTATACCCTTGAAACTGAATAGCAGAAAAGACTCTCAAACCCTATTCAAACCATAAAGGCATTTCTGATATTTTTATTTCTTATGTTTTCTGATTCATACTTCTCAATGGCCTATGCATGTGATACAGCTGCACTTTGGTGGCAATAAAAACTCTGCAGTTCTGCTTTTACTGCCAAAAATACAATTCCTATGATCTAGAGTAGCAGTTATCTATATTATCTTTCATTTAGAATACAACATTGGGTAGAAAGCACATTATACAATGCAAACAGGCAATACCTATCAAGGAACACATAAATAATTTATTTTTCCCTCTTTAGGTCATCTGTGGGCCATCAAAAAGATTAGGGTTATAACTCCAGTTATGAGAAAGTAAGAGTAGTAAACTTAAATGACTTAAACAAAATAAGTATCAAGCACACTGCTTAATACACTGTGAGTGCAATATACAGCTCCCAAAGTTTGGGGGTATTTTTGTGATGATAATACTACATAATTAAAAATCTACTAGATTTCAAGCCAAAAAATTAGATTGATATTTAAATCAGTTTTTTGTCCTGTGCTGGAAAAAAAAAATAAAGACATCAAAGGCACCTCAGAAGAGAGAGCCTTTTCACAAAGAGAAGAGAGAGCCTTCTGTAACAAAGATCAGCCTCAATGCACTCCCACAGAACCTCTGTCCAAATAAAAATTTAACTCAATGCTCCAGTTATAGCTAAACATTAAGTAGCTTCGGTTTTTTTCATGTCAGGGAAGGTCTTAGAAAGAGCAGAAGCAAACAGACAGTTCCAGCAATGTGAAGGGGTTCTAAACTGAGAGGACAACCAAACAAAATGAGATTTAATCAAGCTGGCTAAAAGAAGGCTCTGACAGAAATGTATGAATGTGTCTGGGAACAAAACTCCTGATGCTGTGAGCTGAGAAATATTCCAGAGTTCTAAATCCATGGCAGTAGTGGATGATAGAAGAGGTTACAGACCTCCAAAAATAGGCCAGTTCTGAGGGATTAGGATACAGACAAGCCATCAGTAAGAAACTAAATCAGTTCCTGACCTTGAAATAGAAATATGGTGTGGTAGGTCAGGAGGAGTCTCTTTTATATCTGTTCTTTGTGATAGGATCAATATCAGTGTATTAGTAGAATCAGTAAGACTAAATATATAGCAAGAGGAGACTTGAAAGGAGAGACTTTACATAATAATCATATTTGTCCTGGCAATATGGAAGAGAATTCCATAATCTCCTTACAATGAGGAGAGAAAAAAAATTTAAAAACCAAAACAAGGAAATCCCTAGAATAGTCTACTAGTCATTCCTTTCCAGATTTCTACCACTTACTACTTTAATTTCCCATTACAAGCGAGATGGGTCATCAAAGCCACCTACTACGTCTCTGGTCTTTACTTTCTGTGCAAGGTAGATTAAAAGAAGATGTATTATTTTCCAGACATCTTTGTCCTAACAGGTAGTTATCTGAACAGCTGAGTATCTGTATTTCTCTACCTGACACAAAAAAGAAGCCGGAGTCCGTAAGAGCCAGCATACTGATCCCTCAGTTTGAGACATATGAGAGCTGAAATTCAGTCTAGGTTATGAAAATGGTGGATCCAAAAGGGAAAGTTGCAGCACGTTCTTTACATGTACCTATAGAAATTAAAAGTATGCCCTCTACAAAAGTTTTCATCTTCAAGAAAGTCTAGTATGGCAGAATATTTTCTCTGGACAAGTCACCGTCTAAATCCTCACAGAGCTTGTACATAGATTTGCAGAAGTGCTTTTCTTCTGATAAAACCTTTGTCATTTTTCCCAAAAATCTTCTTCAGAAACTTTTTTTTTTCACAAATTTTCTACCCTTTTACTCTTCAGTGAATTAGAGCGAAATATATAAAGGAAGATGAGGCAATTATCTGAAAAGTATTAAGTAAGTCTGTTCTGCTTTTAGACAGGATTCAATTTTAAAAACGTATGCTCAATTGCATCAAATTATTTTAGGACAGCTTTTGAGTAGAAGAACAACTAAAATGGAAAACTTTCCAAACAGAGACAGAATACCAAGTTTAAGGCATGAACAATAGAGAAGATGAGAGAAAAAAACTTTCTTCAGGAAGTTGACCTGGAAATGGCGCTTATCTTTTTTTTGCTTTCCTTCTCTCTCCCTCAAACCATCAATGAAAAATATCAGTAAAGTGAAATTTGGTTTTAATTTAAATACTAATTCAAAATTAATATAAAATCTATCAGATAGATCAGACTGAAAAAATCTATTTTGTTTTCCAAGCAAACCAAGAAAGTGCTTTGCCTTTGGCTTTTAAAAATATCTTCATGAGGTGTGTAATTCCAGTTAAAAATTAGACACTTTCAACTGTTATGTTGAGACATCAGTAATGCTGCTTCCTGCTGGATTTTAGGATTTTGTCTAATTGCACTCCAATGCTATGAGGGCATCCCAACCCGACACATCATGAAACAGTGAAATCAAACTTGGGTAGCCTGCACTAAGAACAAGATTCCAGGTGTTTCTCACATCAGACCAAAGGCAATATTATATTCCTCTGTCTTTCATTTAACAACCGGATGGAAATCTCTCTCTCTCTCTTTTTTTTTTTTTTTGCCTAAGGAATTGTTGGATGGAAATATCTCTCTCTCTTTTTTTTTTTTTTTTGCCTAAGGAATTGTTTGGCTATTGCAGGCTTTTATGTGCACGTTTCTACAGGAACTTAGTACAGTTCCATATTTCTTTTTTCAGTAACTTCTGGATAATACCCATGATAGTAATCTAACTCTGTAACTCCACATGAAGTTCATCAAAATCCTTTTATTTACTACCTATACAAAGAAATACCATTACAAGTAAAACATCATTAAAAGAGACTGACACATTTATCCTGATTCTTATCTTCAAGTAAAACATTAAATTTCAGTTAAAAGGGGTAATTTTAAAAATTTTATTTTATTGAATAACAGAGGCATATGAATAACAGTTTCAAAAAGATAATGAAAAAAAAGATAAAAGAAAAAATGCTGACTTTGAATTTTATCCAATATTTCTGAGCAAACCAAAAGAGATTTCAACAACTTCAAGAAAGAAATACAGTATATTACAATCTAGAGAAACAATCCAAATTAGCAGTTTGCTTAACAGTGTCATATCAAATCTTACAATATCCCACAAAGATACAGTGAAGTTCTATCAAGTAGGATTATTTAAATACATCTTAAAAAAAATAAACAAGAATTAATAAACCATTGCTTTAAAAATAGAAAAACAACTAATCTAAAGTTCTCTTTAAGTAGGTAAGAAATTAGATGCTTAAATATCTCTTAACTTCACAAGTTGATGCAGTTTCAGATCACTGATTTTTCAAAAATAAAGCAGCTCCACATTGAATCCACTGGTCTTGGTTTCCTCCACAAGGTACATCAATATTTGTCACCACACGGTCTCTCTCCACACTAGTGTACACTGGTAAAGATATGCATTCCTCTGGAGAATATGGACCATATGCATCCTGTCAACAAACAAGCACTTAGTTATCACATAAAAATACAACAAAATATGAGAAAACAATATTCTCCACTGGTATGGTATCTAAAGTTAAGATACAGCTTGGACACTGCAGCCTTGGACAAGGAAGTCTTCATTCAGGACACTAAGGAGAAGGATTGAATGAAGCAGGGACTTCAGGAAAATTGCTCTCTCCATAACTCAAACACCAGGAAGGAAATAACAGGGATGATCCTATGAACTACATAAAAAAATCTTCCTTGAGCTAAAACCCTCCCAACAATCACACGTCAAAAGTGTCTCCAAACCAGGCTAAGGGAAGTGCAGATCAGTTTCCTGCAGGGAGAAAGCTGCTCAGGAGCCCCTGTGCTGTAGTGTGGGGAGCAGCTATCCTGGCAGGCTAGAGTGTTGTGGTGTCTCTGTCCTGGCAGACCCTACTGCCCCATCCATCCCTGCAGCAAACCCTGCCCTCCTCCTGTGGCACAGCTCCTGCTGTCATCTGAGATACCTGCAAGCATCATACTGCAGGAACTACAATCCAAAAAACCTTACCCCACCCATTCCAGGCTACTTTATTGAACTGCTCCTCTCTACTACAGTTTGTAGTACAGTACTACAAACTGTACTACAAGTACAGTTTGTAGTACTGATACTCAGATATCAGTACTACAAACTGCCTTGGATGGTTTCCTCTAGGGCTTTGTATGGAGCACTGTCCATATGTGTGACCACAGAACTGAGCTCAAAGACTCCATCTAGACTTCCTACAGCACTTAATTTCAACCCACGATGTATTTAGTTACTGCAAATAGTTTCAGGGTTTGATTCAAGTGATATATATTAAGCATGTTTTCTATACCACTCAAAATGCCCCATCCTGTCAACAGGAAAATGTCAGATTTTTTACAGCACTTAATTTCAACCCATGATGTATTTAGTTACTGCAAATAGTTCAGGGCTTGATTCAACTGATATATATTAAGCATGTTTTCTATACCACTCAAAATGCCCCATCCTGTCAACAATAAAATGTCAGATTTTCAAGAACCAAATAACAAAGCAGCACACTTGTCAGAAAAGAATTTTAAATAAAAATGAGTGTCATTTTAACTCAAATCACATCAAATGTGAGTTAGTGATGCTCCAGTATTAGAAAATAACTAAAAACAGGAAAAAGGAAACATGCAAACAATAACTGTTTCAAGCACTTTGCCTTGCATGTGAAGTATATAGCCATTACTGAAGAATTTTGCTGTTCTTTTTGAAAATCAACTTCCCCTGTTTTTGGAAAACAGTGTTTCAATCCTTGCAGAAGATTTATGTGTAGCAATATTTGTATAGAGTTACTGAATAATCAGGAACTCAGCTGTTCTCAGAAGGACTGTACTTAGTCCATTTATCCCTTGGTTAACTCTTCTGAAGAAGACAAAATGCTGGCCAGACTGAGAGTAAAATGTTAATCAGAGAATTTAAATTTTGTCAAAGCTGGGAGCCAGAAGCTGGCCAGTTTGCCTTCAAAGACCCGTTTTTGGACACCTTTTAGGAACAAAAAAAAAGACACCTTTTAGGAACAAAATAACTGTTCTTGTGCCTTTCTCAATCCCACTGATGTTTTAAGGAATCACATTATTGGGGGGTTAAAGCCATTCTGCGGAAGTCTTTTTGAGTCACAAATCCTTATGTCCTTGGCTGAAGCACAGTCCAAAAGTTCCCTCTGTCAGACTGCCTCACACACAGTTCCATTCCCTTTAGTGATACCCTTCACAGCATGGGTTCTATCAGTGGATTAAAACTGGAAAGGACCTTCACAGTTTAATGAGAATAAGCATAATGTTAGTAGCTCAAAATATTCTGTTTAGAGCACTGCAGGATTTTGAGAGGGTTCTCTCAGAGAAATCCCGTAGGCTACTTTATGTTTGGTTGAAAATTACTTCAAAGCAGTACATTATACATATACTTTTGCTCAGTAGCTTTCAAAAGATGCATTTATGGAGAAAAGAAAATAAGTTCAAAACCTAAGAATTCTAAGATAATATGTTCAATTTTATGCAATCTTCTCCTAAGGAGAGATAATGAAATTAAGGGAAATGCACGATATCCAGTTCTGCTCTGGTTTCTGTGCACAGTATTTGATTATAGTCAATTTTTTACAGTGATTGTAAAACAATTCAAGGGTAGACCAATTCAGAAAAACTCTCCTTAGAGACACTTTATATTTAAAATCTGGGAAGTTGACAAGTTATGGCCTGTGTTTTATAAGAAATACATGTTTTTCCAACACGAAGATGCCAGTTGCTATTCATTTCAAATATAAGTACATTTGAAAAAGTTTAATTCATTGATTACTGAAGTATCTAATTTTTTAATTTTACAGATAAAGCTCCCTGCTGATTTCACACATAACTTTTTGATCCTACCTTTGGAGTTTGAAAAAATAGTCTTATTCAGAAAAATACTAAAAAATCTGTTTAATTTCAAACACAAGATGAATGTCTTTCAGAACAATGGGAGGACTACTTAGAATTCTCATTTAAAATGTGTTTCCATTTGGTGTTACCATGGAAAACCACACATGGAATTACCATCCTGACCATCCACCACTCAGCCAACACATTAAAATATCTGGCAATTCTGTATTTATCCCATGTACCACCTCTCAAACAAATTAGAAATCTGTTTATTTATCTGAAAAAACCAAACCCTGCAAATACTGAAAAACTGAAAAATCTTTCAGCTTTTGTGATGTTTTCTTTTTTTTGTCCTTTTAAAATTTTTTTGGTATTTTCTTGACTAACCAAGCTGGGAGCAATGGTGCAGATGGTGACTAGCATTTACTTCTGTGTTCAAAGTCTAAATTTGTTCACCTTGATCAACTCTGTAAGAGCTTTTGTGATGTTTTCTTTTTTTTTGTCCTTTTAAAATTTTTTTTGGTATTTTCTTGCCTAACCAAGCTGGGAGCAATGGTGCAGATGGTGACTAGCATTTACTTCTGTGTTCAAAGTCTAAATTTGTTCACCTCTATACTTGTAATGCTGTACTATAATATAATGCTGTATTTCTGCTGCTGGAAAAAAAAAAGAGAGAAAACTAAGCTAGAATACAGCAGTGTGTTAGCAGTGGAGCTCCTTGCACAATATCTGTCACAATACACAAAGGTCATCATAGTGGTCTAGGCTGTCTCTAGAGTCACACCTGGACAGATTTATCCCAGATATCGTCTGATGGGATAGGCTTCCTAAATGTAGGTTGGATGAATTCTGCAATAAACAATTTTTTAATGAAAAGACATGCCCTTGAATACATTCTATGTGACTTTTTGAGTTATTTATCAGCGATTGCTATGCCAGCTGGAGAGCAGAAGCAGTAACTGTTTTTACTGTTTGGATTACTTTGCTTTCATCTTAAAATCTGCAAGCATTGACATTTTTTTAAATTAGTTTAAGTAGGAGAAAGGCTTTCTTTGCTTACAGCTCACATCATATTCTCTCTTTTTTATTGCCACTGCATACTTTAATATTTAAAATGCAAAGAAAATATATACTAGAAATGAACTCCCAAACACATGTACATATTTATATGTACATGGAAAATATACTAATGTTTTGAAAAAACAAAGAAACAAAGGTATGACTGAAATAAAGCCCTTGCCTTCATCTAAGCAATATAAACTAAAGAATATTAACAAAATTACAATAAGTTTCTGTTTTAAATAATGTACCTGCTTTTCCGAGTAAAGACTGGGATTTTTATTTTGAAATGAAAGGAAAACAGGTCAGCAACATCATACTGAAAAACTACTACACAGAAAAAATCAAATTATGGGTCTTGAAAGTTTAGGGCTTTTAATAATTTAGTACCTGTGGAATCCAGGCCATGTAACAAGGGAGAACAGATGACACACTGGGAGAATCATGCAGATTTTCTGAAAGTCGATTTCCATCAAAACGACAACCTTCCAGTTGTAAGCCACTGATCTGCCATGGAAATATAAAATATTCAAACATAAATAACAGAATTAAAATGTCAATAATGATTACACTGTGCTTTAATAAACGATGAACCTTTTTATTGTGACCAAATTTTTAAATAACAGGAAATTAATTACTGTTATGTTCTTTGTGAGAATAGGAAACATGATTTAAAAGCAAGATCTGGACCATACTTCACTGTGAACTTCCTCTAATTTGGATTCACATTCTTTGAAATACTGGAGAAAAATACCTGTAAATGTCATTAATTATGAAACTGCAGTTGCCTGGCATTTCATTAATGGAATTATGATAGCAACAGCCAAGTTCACAATCATTACAATGTCGAGTAGAAGAGAAGAACAATCACTGCAATAAGCATGACTTCCTGCTTGGAAGTCTGAGCCCAGCTTTCAAAGAATGGAATGCGCAACTACACAGCTTCAGCAGAGGCAAACAAAATATGTTGAAATAATATGAGAGAAAATTTTATTTAACGAACTCAAGACTTCTTAGACAAGGATATTGGCGTTTGGCAAAAAATTAAGTAAGAATCAGAGATGCTTCTTTAAGTAACTATGCAATGCTTTATTTGCAACATGTTTCAAGTGTTTTCTTTTGATTAAGTCATTTCAGCCTCTGAATTAAAGGTTCTGTTTTTTCTTCTCTGGAGTCTTCCATAAGTTGGTGACATCTGTTCTAGATTCCTTTAAAAAATTCCAGTATTTTCTGATAGCTTTACTTTCCTCAGTACAAATATTACTAGTTTGCTAATAATAATAATAATAATAGTAATTTTGGCCTTCTGAAGTGAGAACTTGCATTTTAACAGTAATAAAAATTAATTCAGTAATAACTTTCATGCAGCTTTTCAAAAGGCTAACTATCCAGCTGCAGCAGATCTGTAACAGAAGCTACAATCTGAAAATCATCTTTCTGTTACACTATTGTACTAAAGCCTGAATTAAATTTATCATACAGAGATTGGCTTTCACCAAATGCATGGTTCATAAAGTAGTGCTGGAATTAGGAAATACAATGTTGCTGGAAATTGGACGAGTGATCACTTAAGCAAAATGGAGAAAAATGTCATTTTCTAATATATTTTCCCTTGCAAGAAATGTTGAAACATCTATCAGATTGCAAAAAGGAGTTAAAGTATGATGTCACAATGAAGATCAGTATCATAGAAGAGAAAATTGATATAATTTCCTTAGGTAATTTTAGTATGCTAAAATTACACATTTTACACCGAAATATGAAATTAAACAGTACCACAATGTGGGTTACTGTCATGCTTGAAAAGCAATGCTTTCCTCCCCAGTGTTAGCGGTTTTTCATTAATAGTATATTAATTGTAAACTAGCTAAGATTACATTTTGCATTTTTAATATCTAATTATTCTTTTGATTGTAGACAGGCATAACACTCTTCAAGAATTTGCTTCTTTAAACTCATATTTCTCTTTTAACGTTGAGCTGGGGACTCTTCCTTACAATCTGAAAGATGCAGATGTACAAGTTCTAATATGAAAAAAAATGTTATAAAATACGGCATTAAAAAAGACGTAGAACTAAGCTGTGTTTCTCCTTGGACAGACAGTGACCAGAGAAGTGACAATGTTCTTTGGAGCAATCTGTGCTTCATACAGACTAGGACTAACAGCGAAACCACCAAAGCTGCGGATAACCTGAAACAAAACAATCCCAAATGGAAAGTTCAGAGTAGACTTTCTGTCTAACTTTCACACAAATTTTAGAAAGATTCATCTCCTATGCTATTCTTTCTGTCCTTCTTGCTTTCTGCAGGGAATATTTTTAGGGATTATAGTTTAATAAATAACCACGGCAAAGTCATTGCACAAAGATTGGTATGATGAAAAGGTTTTAAAGTTTGTTGCTAGGGTGTTCAAAGGTCTGGCCATCCTGAACATCTCTGAAAGAAATTTCTACTGAAGTGGATTATCTATTGAAAAAACTTTTTACTATACTTTTCTTCTTTTGATATTGGCAGTCCCTTTAACATTACAGTTATGTAAAATACCATTTGATCTCCTGGAAAACTTCTCATGGAAACCAATGGTAGAAACTCCGTTGAAGATTAAGACCAATTTTTTACTTTCATTCAATATTAAAAGACATTAAGAAAAAAACCCCAACAATACTAGAACAATGTACTTTCCATACCATTTGGCTCAGTATGCCCATAGCCATGTTTTCATTTCTATAATAAACAGTAAAGAGAAATTACAAGTACTATGAAAGACATGAATTTCACAGCATCTGTAATATAATCATAGTATCTTTGAAACTCACCAGAGAGTAATGGCAGAAGTTGACCATAATTTTTAATTCTTACAAAGAATTTGGCAGTTCACAGCTATCAGTACTATTTTAGGTTCAAGACAGTTATTCTTACACATTACAGACTATGTTTCTTTAAAATACCTTTGTAGAAAGTGTGCTGATACCGTGGTCCAAAGCACATCTGTTTCCAGACAGATTTTCTCTTACTAATTAATGCCATAATTTTCCATTACACAATCCAAACTGCAGCAGACTTTGGGAAGCCATATTTTCACTTCACTACCTCTACAGGCCTCCATCATTAATTTATTGATATTTTGGGTTGGAGGTATATTGTAAAAAAAGATCTCTGAGGATGCCTTATAATAATATATCTGTCAGTTGCTAAGTGTATAGTTTTGATATTAATACTCATATTGTGGATTTGAGACTCTCAGTAATTTATTTTTTTTCACTATGTATATCAAGTTCTACCCAAGGTCATATTACTTACTACCCAATAAGTTTCTTACCATGTTTCTTCCTTCCTTTCTTTCATTCTTTTCTACAATACAGAAAATGGAATTCCAAAAGGAATGACTACCTGCTGTTGTACAACAGCACAATCAGTGCACAAAGCAAACAGACAAGATGTATTTGCATATCAATATGTAATTTTAGTGCAATTGCCATACATTTTCAGTACCTTCTGTTAAAGCAACCTGGAGTGATATTAAAGAAGGTGTAATTTCATACAGATTGATTCTAAGTGATATTGAGGAAGGTGTAATTTTATACAGATTGATTCTAAACCAAATATTCATCACATCCTACTAGAGAAGATCCACATCATACATCTAAACCATCACCTGAATTAACACTGATAATTTAACATCTCATTTGATAATTCATACAAGACTAAGGTGTGTTCTCGGCCTGATTGAGTGTTCCTCTGCCTACTTTGCACTTTCACTGACAGTTCTAGAAAGCTGCATGCTTCTAAGTTACAGATGATCATAGGGTGAATTATTTGTATTTTTAGGCATAGAAAGCTCAGCCATCTACAGCTGCTGAAGCTTGATGCCATTTTTAAAAATCACGGCAAGACCGAAAAAGCATTTTCATCATGATACAGATTATAAGGAGATCTTTTTTCCCTATCACAGAACAAATTCTAAGTCATCAAAACCTTTTAAAATAAAAAGTAATAAAAAATCCTGAAGAACATGTCTTCAAAACCACGCCTGACAGTTTTCCTAAGAAAGTTATATACTTTCCTAAGAAGTAAGTTTGACTATCAGGTTTAAATTTCCCCGCATTACTACTTGTGCCAGTCCCTCAACAGAGATACTCTATCAGGCTTTTAAATCTCTGTTGATTCAGGGACTTGAGGACAACTCTCCCATACCCTGAAACAGAGTCCCCCAACTGTGTGAGTACAAAATCAAGTATCTCAGTGGAGTTAACTACATAAAGAGAAATAATACCATTAGCATCAATTGAGACTGATAAACTTCAGAATAGCGTATACTATACCATGGTTCCCATAGGGGAGTCTGGTAAGTTACAATTTCTGGTTTAGGTAGGATAAAAACAAGGTCCCAGCTCTTTCACCACAGTATGTGTTTAAGGACTTATTTCTTCTGCTGACGGAATTAATTTTTTTTTTTACTTCCCACTCAGAATAGGTTCCTATTCAACAAGGTTAGCCTGAATTCTTGAAACTGCCAATACAACATTTACTTTACCAGTATTAAAATTCATACTGTTCTGGTGAACCAACCTTAATGTACAATGCAGAGGATCCTTATCAAGCAAGACACATTTTAGAGAATTAATTTTCTAAATCAATGACTCTTTTATGCCCTAGTTATAGTCTCTGCTGTGTATAGCTTTGCTAGTGGGAAAGTTCCCCTCAGTTCTCCATGAACATGAAGAAGCACTCATGGTAGGGAAGTCTAAATATTCAGCATTGCAAAGGGTTCCAAAGCCTTTCCTCTCATCAAAGATTAAAAGAAACAGTGAAAATACTAGTGATTTCCTAGTAATAGAGAATCAAGGACTATTTTTCTTACAGAGGAAAATATAATATTCAAATCAAGTGAAGAAACTTGGCAGGATTCTTATGTTTTGCTAAAAATAACTACTCACCTAGCTGCTTGTTGCATTCATGGGGCAGAGAATTTACTCTTAAACAAAATTCTATTCTGATTTTCAATCCCTCTTAGAACATGACACATTCTTGTAAAGCAATCATAGAGATTAATTTTTTTGCCCACACATGATATAGACTGCCAACAGCGTACTTTAACTAGTATTGCCAAAAATTTACCACATAAATTCTCAGACAGTAAAACATTTCAAACTTCAGTTAGAAGTTTAATAAAAACTGGAGTACTGTAACAAACCTCTTTCCTCTCATTCTTTATTTGCCAAGCAGCTCTTTCAATCTGGCAACTGTAAAACGTGATATTTTTTAATATCTGAATATACAGAGTTATATTTACTGAGTAATATGTAGGAGTTGCGGTACTTGACATTGATTTTGACATTTTTCAAATATTTTAACATGGTTTTGAAGAACTTCAAGCTCCTACAGTCTGCAGCTGATAGCTAGCCTATTAGAATGACTGGTCTGAGATGTGAGACTCAGTTTTGACTTACTGCTATGGCCTTAGAGGCCTTGGTTGAATCTATAATCAAAGACCATGTGAATTGCAAGTATATTTGTCATATACTGGGTTTATACCAAGCCCTAAAAGTTCCCTGGTTTAGTTATCTCCAAGTTCTACACCCTGTCTTCTCATGCTTGTTATGAAATGAAGCAGGCAACCATTACTCTTACTTAAATATCAAAGTTGAAGAATTTGCAAAATTACATTCTCTAATTCCAACAGGAATTAATTCAATGAAGTTCAAAAGTCTGCACTGTATATTTAGGGCAGATTGGATGATTACAGTTATCTTTACTGGCTTTACAACATATTAACATTTTAGGAATACGAAATCTTACATATTCTGTATTAATAATTTTGACACTGTTAGGAGCCAGCCCAGAACTCTAATATCTCCCACAGCCTTGTGTCTGTCTGCATTACCAGACTAGAGAAGGTGCCCTGCCACTTCTCTCTCTCCTAATGCAGCAATCTCTGCTTTAGCAGAGCTACATGGGCCCCACAGCTGCTGTTGAGTGCCCTGTGTTGGGCACAAGTGCCTCTGTGAGGATGTGGTATTAAGGGCTGTGCTCCATGCTGAACACAGAACATGGAGCTGTGCAGCATTATTTTGGGATCAACATACCTGTAGGAAGACAGCACAGAAAACTTAATTTGTCAATTCCCTAAAAAATTAAGTATAAAAAAGGTGCACAGAGACCTGTGCTGACCAAGGTGGAAGTTTTACCTGGCATGTTAAGAAGCTATATCAAACCATTTGAGGATTCATCTCTACTTTGCTGTCAAAGCAATCAGTGGTGACTCTATGGCTGGTGGCTGCAGGCTTAACTAATCATTAAAAAATTGTTGGGTTTTTATCCTACGAAAATCTAGTCATCTTATAGCTTACTTTGGTTTACTTCCTTAGTAGTCTCCTTTCAGTGATTAAAGAAATGCTAACACATGGCCTTAGACTTACAGATTTATATGTGTATTTTCTCTGGCTACCAGCCACCCATCTATCTGGACAAGAGCAAGATTTTAACTCATAAAATTGCAGCTTCCATTTTCATCTAAGAGGTGATTGAAGAGAATGGAGCAATAAGCTTTATTTTAAAATAAGAACAGTGACCAGGGAGGAGAAAAAAGATAACCGCCTTCCTTTTCTAATTGCTGTGGAATTTTGCACTGCCATTTTAGAAGCTCTATACCATTAACCAGCCTTTTTATCTCAGGTACACCAATTATCTACAGATCAGTTTTCCAGGAAGTTTATGGACAGATGACTTGGACTATACTGATACAACATCCTCAAAAAATCCTAGTAAAATACCTTACAACATCCTAGTAAAATACCTTAACTTGGAGTTTGCCTTCCTGTATTCGCCCTTTCCATGAAGCTGTAAATTTAAGACTGTCCACTGAACACTTCATTACTCTGCAATGGAAACAGACATACAGTAAATCTTACAGATGTGCAACAACAGGATATCAAACACAAAGCCAAACTCAAAGTATTTTCAATATGTACCATATGATATTAAGTCTTAGTTTGAAGAAAAATACATCTCTAACTGAAAAAAAAAACCAATAAGTATTAAAACAGGTAACAGCTATTTTACTTCAAGGCAAGAAATAAAAATAAGATGACTGATGACAGCAATTGACATAACTTTTTGGCTCTGTGTCCTCAAAATGAAATAACCATCCTCACACATAAGGAACAATGGCACATTAGCACAAATAGGCACATTATTTTTCCCTCACCTTGCAGTCTCCTGGCGTAAGGCATTGAGAAATGTGTCTGGATGAAACAGCTCAGAAAGGTCAAGGGTGTCTGACAAGAGTTTCTGTTTCTCTGCTTTTTCAACCCAATTCTAAAAGAAAGAATAAATAAAATTTAAAATAAAGAAATTCTGAAATAATTGAAATTATTACTTGATTTTTCAACATTTTGTGTTAATGTGGGTGCGTCAATTATTATGATTAATAAAAAATGTTTGCGTAAGCATACTGTAACCTCAAAGCTTAATAATAATTTATATTATTTCATAACGGTAAAAAGGAAATGAATATCCTCTTAAAATATAAAGAAAATTAGCAGTTTATGTGCAACACGACTCAACCGTTCTAAATAAACTCATGTTTCATTCTTTGTTCATTGCAGCTTACTTTGTACAGTGAAAAGTTACCATTGTATGATGAAAATTATAACTTCAACAATTTTATCATTGTTGAAACCCTATTTCACCTTTACTTACTGGGGAGTTTATGTTTTCCATCAAAATAGCTGGCATTTCTGTCTTTGCTTTAATAAGTTCAGAAAAATAACTGAATTCCTTTTGGATATGCTTTAAGATCATTTTTTTCGTATGAATGGCATATTATATTGAAGAAACACTTGATTTTCAATCTGCAGTAATAGTTTCTATAACTACTTGCCAACAGGTTTTCTAAATATTGCTCATTACTGGTAAGGTTGATGCTGCCATTTTTATTATATTAGTTGAAGATGCGAATTCACAGAATTGATTACAAGATAAAAAATGGACTCTGTTATACATGGCAGTAAATGAATCCAGTAAAGGTGGGGCAAATAACTGTCCTCAACTATCCTTACAGAGCACATGTCTCAACCTTCTTCCACTCTTCTTAGTAGCAGCTGTGAAGCCTGCTAGGAGCAGCAAGCTTGGAATTTCTCATTCCAAGCAACACCTTGTCTGCAATATGAGGAAAGAGACACACATTGAACCTTGCCATCTTTATAAAACATGCCATCTTTATAACCCTAAGAAATGCAATATAGGTTTGATTCTCAAGACATTAACAATGTCAGACAAAGAATTTGCTCTCTTCAGACAAGATATTTAGGTACCTGACTGGTTATGCAACAGTTCACACTCAAAATCCTCTTCTGAAATGTTTACAATGTATCCCTTTGGTACAATGTATTTATATGATACAATCACAGTCCTTACTATGGCACTGTAGCATGAACCTGAAGCCACTGTATAACAAACCCTACAAGTAAGCTCTTCACAGATAGACTAAGTTTCCAAGGCCAGGCTGGATGGGGCTCTGAGCAACCTGGCCTAGGGGAAGGTGTCCCTGCCCATGGCAGGGTGTTGGAACCAGATGATATTTAAGGTACATTCCAATCCAAACCATTCCGTGATTCTGCAAATACTAAGACAGAAACTAATCAGAGAATAAGATTCCACATGCTATCACAGAAAGGAGAGAGACAAGTCCCACTCCTTTCTAGATACCAGCTCCCAGGAAATGATAAAATTGCTGTAGTCACTGAATAAAAAATCTTGGAAGTTATACTCTCATCACACAATGTACCTTCCAAGCACCTATATCATGTTTTAAAATTACTTTATTGTATTGTTTGAACTGCTGACAGATTAATAATTCCATAGAACCATTTTGGAAATTACAAAATCATAAAAAATGCAAGTAGATAACACTCAGTAAGTTTTATTTAATTTTGGCAACGTGTCACACACATCTCCATAATGTTTCCACCATGTTCAAGCCTTTAATCAGTTTTTTGGTTTTTTTATCTGCCACATCCCTGATTATGAGCCCTCAAACCAAATGATTATGAATTAGTTCAGAGATTTCTGCTTTCCATTTTCATTAGGTAAATGTACACAGTTAATGACTCTTGTCTGCATGATTCTTTTAATGACTTTATATAACTTTATGAAACTTACGACTTCAATTTCTTTTATCATATAGCAGTAAATGTATTCTGATTAGGAGAGGTTTTGTAAATTGTTTTGTGTAATAGAAGTAGGCATCACTTCAACTTGTAATTAATATAATCATTATATTGCTGTCATCAAATAAACTTTTAATGTAACTGCTAAAGAGAAACACTGTCAGGAACACAGATGTTTATATTCCACCCAATTAAAAGACCAGTATGGGTAATATTAACTCTGAACTCATATAATTAGTAGCACTAGGATGTACACAATAACAAAAACTTTCATTAGATGACAAAAACAAAATTGTAATGTCTTGTACTGCTCCATATAAAGCTGAATATGTAGCTCATTTACATCCATTTAAATAAATCATTTTAGATGCAATCAAATGTATTTCACAACCCAATTGTAAAAAGTATCCTTATATTTATTTTAGTCCTATAAGATCACATGACAGCCTATTAGGGAAATGCTACAGTCTCAAAAGACACGACTCCATTAACAGATCATTTGTCACTGGTAGTGCCACTGCCACAAGGCTGGAAGAGATTGGGTGTTGATGGGAAGGAAGTTTAAGCTAAGCTGTAGAAAGACTGAAGTGATGTTTCTTGAAAGGGAGAAATCCCTCCCCCATCCAAAATCTGATAGAAACATGTGTTGACTGCATTTGTCAAAGTGATGAAAAGTTGTTTGACTCCTTATTCATCTTGGATGGCCATGCAGCATTTCAGTCAGAAGGGCTTTCTTCCATCACCAACTCTTACATAACTATATAACTATTGTACCAACAACGTGGTCTACGAGTCCGAATATCTAAACCCTGAAAATATGTTTATTCCAAAATGTAAGAAAAATCTATCATCCACTCTTCTGTGCAATTGTTTATTTCAAAATTTCATTATTCCAATATTTTCTGAATATTTCTTATTACACTATAAATATAACAACCTGTTATATTTAATATGTGATAGATTAATTTAGAAAATCATTATTATAAATATAATATCAACACTTATCAGTGATACCCAAAATGCTTGCAAAGCAATTCCTGGCAGGATATTTCAAAACTTCCATTAATGTGGGGTTCTGTTTGCTATCATAAAAACATTTTCTTTTCTTTTTTTCCCCTTACAAAAACAAGTCTAATAGCATGGTCTCAGGTAGTTAAAATAATATTTTTTCATGCATTTTAAGATCCAATAAACATCTATTCCACTTTCAGAGAGAAGCCTTTCTTATCATCTATAATCCCAAAGCAAACTGAGCGCCTCATTGAACAGTGGAAGGAATAAGGAGGCTGCCAGATTTTCACATTATTATTTATACAGCTTTAGGATCACAGAACTCCTCTTCAGTGATGCAAGTACTCTTCCTTCACCAGTTTTAATTCATTCCAAATGTATATTCTTCTCCTGCATTCTTCTGTTGCTTTGTTCCCCAAAGAGAACTTATACTGAAAATCATATAAATCACCACAGAAGTGATTTCATTTTTGTGTCTAGATGGAAAATTGTATTCAGGGTTACATGCATATGTATAGCCAGGAACCAGACAGTATAATTCTGTTTTTCTACAAGTTTTAGAAGTTTTCCACATTACTAGGGAAAAACTTGGAGTGCAGAACTTTGGCTACATCTGAGAGTAAATGATGGTGAGTAGCACTGCTGGGAAAGTACTCAGTTAACTGGAGTTTACACTGAGCCAAGGTCAAACAAGCAGTTATGCTACAATCCCATTTTCCTCACAGTGCAGCAGCTGTTCTACAGGTGTCCTCCTAAGTGCAGGCATTCAGTGGTAAACACCAGCAGGAGTGACAGTATTACAGCTCAAAGAAATGAAACAGATGGATTTTTGCAGGCACTGAGCCCAGAGGGGTAATGCCTATGGTTCTGAGGAACAACAGGTACACAACAATTCTCTCCCTTGCGGTAATTATTTGTATGTGAAATCCTTGAGGCATTATTCTTGAGGGAGCTATACTTTATTAAATGAATGTGTGAATACTGCAGTATTTCCAGTATATGATAAGGTGTTGGCCCATACTTACAAATGACAAATAACACAGTAATTTAATTTGGAGTTTATGTTTGGTTTTTTTCCTTTTTCCTTTTTTTTCTTTCCTTTTCTTTCCCCTTTCCTTTCCTTTCCTTTCCTTACCTTTCCTTTCCTTTCCTTTCCTTTCCTCTCCTTTCCTTTCCTTTCCTTTCCTTTCTTTTCCTTTCCTTTCCTTTCCTTTCCTTACCTTTCCTTTCCTTTCCTTTCCTTTCCTCTCCTTTCCTTTCCTTTCCTTTCCTTTCTTTTCCTTTCCTTTCCTTTCCTTTCCTTGTCCTGTCCTCCTGTCCTCAGATCAAAACCACTGGATACTGCTTTAAACCAAATACTATTAAATCTTTATTTCAGTTTTCCACACCTGAAAGCCCCCATCTGAGCAATAACACAACAGCACAGTGTTACAGCATGAATGTTCTAGGTCCCTTAGCACCAGCATGCTAACTAACCACATGCTAGAAGCAGATATGCAGTAAGGTACAGCTGACAGAAACATTAGCAGATGTGATCTCATTCTGGTTACTGTATTAGTTCATCTTTTATCAAAACAGGAACTTAACTTCCCCTGAATTTCTGTTTCTTACATTTAATATGGATACCAGAATGATGCATAGGAACTGCAACAACACACTGACAAGTTCATGATTGACTTATGCCAAAAATACCTACTTCCAGATATTTCCTGTATGACCATTAAACACAGAATCCAGTTAGGCAATACTTTTATGCTTCATGCCTTCTAGTTTCTTCTTTCCCAAGTATATCAGTCACCAAGCACTAGATTGCACTTGCAGTTACACAGCAGAATACAACTGGGTAAGGAAGTCTAAGAATTGGAACCATTCCTTGGTGGAAGCAACACCCAGTCTCCAAAAATAAGTTGTGGGGGACAGAAAACAGTGGCACACAATATTCATTTGTAGATAACAGACTAGACTGCCTACAATAATACTTGGACAAAGTCAGGACTACATCAGACATAAATCCTTTGCTGAGCTCTGGAGCAGCGATACTGAAATCTATATTGTGATGGTGCTGGTGTGACTAAACAGGGATACAGAATATTCAATATATTAGCCACTGGCAATGATGGGATGCACTGCAGTAAT